ATACTCTTAACCTCATTTTTCCTGCACAATTATACATCAAAATACAAAAATAATTCTTTGTTATTTCTCTTTTTCATTGAATCTAATTTTGTAATTCCAATTCTAGACTTTTACTGCAATTTTCATTCAATTCATGAACACACACTACTTTTGTAAATAATTCTCTCTCCATGCCATGCGAAATATATTTTCTTGCAAGGTGAGTTATCCTCACATGATGTTAAGTAGTTATCACCATTTTTACCATAGTAGAGAAATGAGCCCCTAATTTCCTTTTTATATTATATTCCATGTAATTTTGCATCTATCCTCTAGAACTTGCCCTGCTTCTTAGTTGAATATGCATTATGCAATTTTTATCTAGATGATTGAGGCCTTATTTACACACACCCACTCACAATTGTTCACCCTTGTACCTTATTGTATTACATTCCCTTCTTTTGTCAAACTTAGTCTGTCAAAACATTTTTTTTCTTCCATCAAGAACGTATTTCTTTTGAGTAACATCAAGAGTGAATGCAAACACTAAGTTTGGGGTGTTGATTTTGACTGTAGTTGCTTAAGGACAAGCAACCTCTCAAGTTTGGGGTGGTGGACATCATACATGTTACTAATACATGTAAAAAAAATGCTTAAATTTGAAGAAAAAGAGTGGTTGCCAAAGTCTAAGAAATCATAAAAGAAAGAATGGAAAAGGAAAGAAAATAAAATGAAGCAAGGTCCAAGAGATTGAAGAGATCTTCACATAATGAAAAATGATGAAAAATAAGGTGAAAGAATGCTTGAATCTCTTAGGCTACCTCATTTGATGCATTTCATTCTAATTGATTGTATTCACTCACTCAAAAGGATTCTCTTATCTTGAAAACCCACTTGAGCTTTTGACCCTCCTTGATCAAATTGAACCTTACCTATCCCTATTTGTGACCAACCAAGTCCTTTTGATAGGTAAATCATTATTAAGGCAAAACAGATTGAGAATATGGGCAAGCAGATGGTAGGGTAGAGCAATTTGCATGTATTGAGGAAAAATACCTAGCCTGAAACACTTGACAAGTGAAGAGTGAAACACCACCTTGTGAGCTAGATAATTTCTTTGCATTGTGTGAAGTATAATAAACCTTGTTGAATTTTTGTCACTTGTATGGGACTTTGCATAAAATTAATTGATATGAGTGTGCCTTCTTTGTTGAATGACTCCATGATTTTGGAAATATTGAAAGTGTCAATTAGGGTCTAATATTGGAATGAAAAATTTTGAGAAAATTTTTTTGGATAAATCCAACCCTTTTACATGTAACTTTCTTGAGTTTTGATTTGCTTGAGGACAAGCAAAAGTTTAAGTTTGGGGTTGTGATGAATCCACATTTTACTAAATTTTTATACATCATTTATTACTTTTTATAGAAAAGAATAGGATTAGATAGTGTAAATAAGATGAATATTCCAATTAGGCTAAATAATATAGGTTTCTTAGTTTTTGGTAAATTTACATTGATTTAGATAGTTTATTTTACATGTTTTGATCATTTGAATAATGTGGCAGGAATCTTCAAGCTTATTTTGAAGAATTATTGGATTTTGAGGAATTTAAGGTGAAAGTAACTACTTTCAAGATTGATAGTGACCACTACAGTAAGCTACTTTCAGCAAAGTGACCAAAGCGATCACTTTCAAAGTTATAAGTGACGACTATAGCAGCCCAAAATCCACTAAATCTGCGCGTGGCTACTATGAAAGTTCATAGTAGTCACTCCAGAGTGTGCAGAATTGAAGATGCTGCGCGTAGCTACTATCAAAGTTCATAGTAGTCACTCCAGAGTGCCCAAAATGTACTAGTGTTGCACGTGTCTACTATCAAAGCTGATGGTGGACACTATAGAAAGGCAAAAACCAACTGATGCTGCACGTGTCTACTTTGAAAGAATGAAAGTAATCACTTTGGAGGGCGCCAACCTTAGTATAAATAGATTTTTTGCTAAATTAGGGCAGAGAGTTCTTACATTTTTTGTACTTTTTCTCTTCTTTACTAAATTAGGACATTTTCCAGAGCTTAGGGCAGTCAAGGGTCCAACTTATGATTTGGTTTCTCATTTCTCTTGCTTTTACATTAATGCCAATGAGTTTTCTGCATTTCCAAATTGTGTTTTTTACCCCCATTTCCATGGAGGCTAAATTTTGTGTAATCCTTAGTGAGTTCACATGGATTCTTGAGTTCCTTGATTTTAATGATAATATAACTCCTTTCTTTTCATGAATTACTTCTTCCTTGCCTCTTGAATTGAATTAATGGTGAATGAGGGGGACTTTGCTTAATTAACCCTAATTCATTTTAAGGAGATTCTAAACTAGGGATTGCTTAATCTTAGGTTTAATTCTAAGGTTGCGTAATCTTGGGATGAGGGATTAGAGCCTAACAAATTGAGTAATTTCATTAGGACCATAAGGTTGATTTTCGCTTGTTAAATTAACCTAATTCATGGAAGAGAGGATGAGTGTTAAATCTTGAGTGGAATGAGGATAGAATCTATGTGGATGAACTAAGGATTACTACTTTCTATTGTTTGAATTAATTAAACTTGTTTGCTTGCTGCTCTTTATATTGATTTGAAACTACAAAACTTCCCTATTTTATTCAATTAATGTCTTCAACATGTTTAATGAAGATTAATAGCCAATGTTCACGAGAAACAATATAGGGTAACCCTAGTACTACATTAATTTGTTTAAATTTTGATGAAGATTTGAGAAAAATCTTCTAAACACAACAAGAAAACGTTCATCAATAACATATATGTTATGATGTTAAAAAATAAATGGAATATAAACCCAAATAACAAAAGAAAGAAATGAGTAGAAAATAAGAATGGGAGAAAAGTGTGGAAGCCAAACTTTAAAACAGAGTACTGTTTCTTTCCACACAGTTTGAAATTTGAATTTTAAATTTTAGCAACGATTCAAAACCGCTACTAAATAACCACCACAAATTTAAAAACTTAGCGGCATTTCAAAACCACCAAAATTTGGCTGTGTCACCAATTTTAACATCAATTTCATAACCACCAAAATAAAATTTAGAATTAGTTAAAACTACCGTTAATTATAAAATTTAACCACCACAAATGAGCGATTTTTTTGTAGTGACAACCCCCACAAGCATAAGAAGGACAAATGCAAGTGTGAGAGATGTTCATTATGGTTCAAGAACTAGGGAAGAACAAGGTAGAAGGTATGTTGATCGTAGCAATATTGGTGAAATTTCTCTTGAATTTCTTTCAACATATAATTTTGTTGTAGATGAAGCTTCGCCTTCTTAGCACAATCTACCTCCTAATTTTGACTTAAATGAGGAGGCAACTATGGGAGATGTAAGTGTAAATTAGGAGAATATATATCGACCACAGCTTGTTATACTAGAGTATAAGGCTACGTGAGTTTTAATGCAACAAGATTACATAGTTACCCAACCATCCATGCATGTGGTGGAACTCTAGCCTACAACACATAGGGGTGCAATAGATGTGGACATAGACGCTCAGGGTTTAGGATATTTGAGATCTAGATACAATTGGACTTTTAAGGGTTAATAAGTTCTTGGTAATTAGCATAATTCTAAAAATAAATAAATTTTCACTTTAATCTTTCAAATATGTAGCATCACTAAAATTAGTCTTTTAGTATTTAAAATTTTAAAGGTTGACCTCTAAAATTAAGAACCATCAATCAATCTAGTCATTGTCATTATATAAATGTTAAAATGTGATAACAAATTGATGATTTATTATGCACGTCACAGCTTACTCTAGACACAAAATAATATTATTTTAATATCTTTCAAAAATAGTTTATTTTCATCGTTAATTTTTGATATTTTTAGACTTTAACCTCTCTTTCTCTTATTCCCTTCATTTAATTTTTCTTATTTTGTTTTCTATTTTAACCTTCCTTCTTCTCCTTCCCTTCTTAGTAAAAGCTTCTTTTCATCTTAATATCTACTTGTATTATATTATTATCCTTTATTTTGCTTTTCATAATAATATACAAACTTAAATAGGCTATGACTATTTTGTTAATACAAGAATAACTTGTGCTTTTAAATATAAGATGTATTTGATAAAATCAGTGTGAATAAGTTAACTGGAAGTTGAAAAAGTAACTTAAAGATAAAAAGTTAACTAAATGATGAAAGTTGAAAGCTAATTGATTGAATTGAAAGTTTTATTAAAACTATATGTTAAGTTAGGAAATAAATGCAAAATGATAAATAAAGACATTATAACTAAGTCCAATTTTGAAATTTAATCATTATATACTTTCAAAGAACTATAATTTTATATTTTAATTTATGTAAAACTATTTGTAAATTATTTTATTATAAAAAAAATAACAGAGAGTGGTATAAAAACAATCTCTCCAAACTAATAAAGGTCAGTTTGGTCAAAATTGACTGAATCTTGCCCGTTGATTCAAATGAATCCAATTTGGAATTTTTGAGCTCATTGATTTGGTAAAACCTACTGAACATCGTTATATTAAACAAAAGGATTTGTCGAAGGGATAAATAACCTTATTTTGAATGGACTAATAAAATTAAATTATTGTGTAAAAAGTTATATTAACTTTCTATTTTTAACTTTTTGTAGACAATCTCATTAATCCATCTCCTGTAGATACCTTAGAATAACGAGAAAAAACTCCAAACAAAAATGTTACACTATAAGACCACACCTTAGAATATGTTTAAAAAGAGTTTTGAAATAAAAAATATTTTTTAATTTTAAATTAAAAAATTATATATCATTTATAATAATAAACACATTATTAGTATATTAAATTTATATCAATTTATATATTTTATTATGAAAACATTAATTTTAAATATATTAATTTAAAATATAAAACATGGCCTCTCCTCTCTTTCCTTTCAAAAATCTCCTTCCTAAACAAACCATTATGGAATTGCTTCTTCTTCTTTTCTTCTTTTTTTTCTTTACTTTTGAAGTGATGGCAGAAAGGCAGAAAATTTTTAAGTATAATAGAGTACAAAAATGCAGAACAAGTGTTCCAAAAAATTGTTCAAATAACATAACTAAATATCAAAAATGGTCATAGGCTATTTGCATTGTTTTAAACCACATACCTTCTATAGAGCGTATTTTCATATTCTAAAAGACCTTATTATTTAACATCCTAAAAGATAGAAATTAGGGAATGGAAAGGGAGAAGATGAAAAAAAAAATACTAAAACAGAGAAAAAGGGGAAGTCTTTTGCAAGCCCGCACTTATTTGTATAGAACACGCGTGCAGCTATATGCATATTCTTCCACTCAAAAGCAAGGTAATTCCTCCCTCTTTAGCTTGGCACTGCCTCATGTACATCTCATACTTCAATCTTTGTTCATGTTTCCCAAGCATACGTATTTGATCTGGAAAAGTAGCGAGAATAAACTTCAACAATGTCACACATTATAATGTATAGTTTATCCAAAAGAAATGACAAATTGACCGTGCATGCATTCAGTCCAGAGCTTTGCTAGTTCTGAGCAATTGAACTCCAAGACAGAAGCCATATCCATGTTTGACATAACATTGACACCAACTACAACACACTGACACCTCCGAGAACAACATTATTACAAAAGAATAAATTAAATTTTAGTGCACGAAGCTTCATTTTAGGCATTTTTAAACATATTTAACAGCATTCAGCTGATATGAGACTTTATCTTTCGGCTAGAAAACTTTACTGTCTTTTACTCGCATTGAAAAAAGCAAGGTAAGGAATCTTTCTAATTCTCCACCAATACTACATATGAAAAAGTTGAATGATCTAACAGTGCAAGCTTCACTTGGAGCATCCAGAGGACGATGATATCATTTTTATTTCATATAGCAAATTTCCAGCCCATTTCCAATGACCAAAAACATCTAAAAATGCTATCAAGACTTCAACACAACCCCTTAACTGTCCACAACACTCAAAATGCTTCATAAATATCCCCTTTCTATTTCTAGCTACTTTAAACCACAACCAAAATGAGAGTCATCAACCCCCCATGGACTATGAAACAGTCTTGTTTCTAAAGCAAAGGAGGAGAATTACATAGCTGAAGACTTTCTTACCTCCAAATATTCATCCATCCCATATTTGGAGCCTTCTCTTCCAAGACCAGACTGTTTAAAACCACCAAATGGAGCCACCTACATCAACGCATACATGCGTAGTCAAATCCATCAACAAAAACATTCCATTGCCACTTAATCTCATTTAATAAGGAATGAGATGCACCTCAGTCGAAATTACTCCTTCATTAACACCCACAAGTCCATATTCAAGAGCCTCAGCAACACGCCATGATCGTTGGATACTGTTTGTAAATATATATGAGCCCAAACCTTCATAGGTACACGTAGTTCCATGGCAAAAAAATTTGACAACGTTAAACCAAGAGTGACCAGATATGGCAAAACTAGTAACATAATGTGACAGTATAGGAAAAAGGGAATCATCCTTCCAGGCTGCACAAAGAAGAATCATATTAGAAAATAGAGCGACAAGAACTACCTGCGTTAGTGTTATTTGCAATTCTGATAGCATCCTGTTCAGTTTTGAATCTCAAAAGGGGTGCAACAGGTCCAAATACTTCCTGTCTGGTGTAAACAAATCAAGCAGGCAAATAAAATAGAGAGAAAAAAGTCCCCCAAAAATTAACAGCAAAGTTCCATCTGATTAATACAAGAAAAAGTGAAATAAAAGTATAAAACTATACCAAAATTTTTGCAAATATAGAATACATAGGAAGTACATTAAAAAGCATGGTAAACTGTATTAACTACATTGGCTTGAAACCTCATCGGCAAAGTTGGGGTGGCAATTCAATCCATTAATCATCCGATCCATCTATGCATAAATTTAACCAAATCATCCAATTATAAAGGTAAAAATTAATGAATGGGTTGGGTTGGATCCTCGTTGTTGGTTGGATAATGAACCATCCACAATATTTTGTAATTTATTAGGTAAAGTAATCCAAAGTCTATTAGTTGGATATAGGTCTTTAAACGGTAGGTTCTAGATTTTTTAGTGTTGAATGTGAATAAATATTAAAGATTATTTTATAAAAAAAAAATATTACAATATATTTTAAATGGATGGATTGGATATCCATACATAAAAATTAATTAATGGATGGGTCGGATGGATTTTTATTAAATTGGTTATGGATTATTGGACTTTTTTAACATATCTTTAATGGACCAAACAAGAGCTTATAAAGTAAAGCAATCCTCACCTCATGAATCAGCTTTTGGATTGAATTAAGTTTAAGGCAAATTTAAAATGGTGGCAGCGTTCTGTCGTGGATCCAACATGGGCCACCTTGACTGTAAAAAAAATGATCCCAGAGATTTTTCCAATGCAATTAACAGTGCAACCTACCAGGTTCCAAGTCTTTCCCAGTACAATATTAAACAAAAAAAAAAGTAAGAGCTTTTATGAGGGCTAAAATCATAATAGTCAATCTCAGATAGTGGCACAAAGCGGCCAACCTCAAAAACGCTATAGTGGGGATAGTGATAGGAGGATGACCGCTAATATAAACATATACATGTTGAGAAATATAAAATTAATACACAAATTTGGAACAAAACAAAAAAAGAAAACTCAAATCAGAGAAGGAAATGAATAACAAACAGCTAAGGGTGCAGGAGTAGCTATTACTTCTACTTTAAGCTTTGAAATTTGAAACAGAACAGAGTAGAAGAATCAAAACAGAAAAGGAAGGAAATCAGAAAACAGAAAAGAAAAAAATGTTCAGACCGAAAAATGTGCAGTTCGCCGGAGATGTAGAAGATGACTGGAAAGTGTCTGGATAACATCGAAAGCTTCACTGACCTTGAAGAAGATGACTCAAAACAATCTGGGTCACATTGGAGGCTTCACTGGAGATGAAGATGACTAGAAAAAATTCTCTTTCCTATTAGAAGTCTCGCCAAAGATAAAGGCCACACTCCAGTGGTGAAAACATCGAGAACAAAGATGAAATGAGAGCAGAGTTGAGAGGTTAGAGGGAGGGAGAAGATTCAGAAACTAAGGGAGGGAATATTCCAAGATCGCTCCCCTTAAAAGCCTCAACGTTAAAAAACAAAGGGCAAATTCGAAATTTTCAGAGAAGAGAGCATAGCGGCCATGACAGCCGCCATTTTCAGTTGCTATTCGCGGCATGACACTGAACTGCAACACTACTAGGTCGCCATAGCGGGGCTGCGCCGCTTCACTCCACTACGCTACAATTGCGGTCGCTATGGCCACTATTGATAACTATGGCTAAAACAACTCTCACCTTTCAAGTTTGCTTTTGGGATTGAACTAGGCTTAAGGCCAAATTTAAGAGTTTACTTTTTATCCATTCATTATAACAACATCCAACTTATAAGGCCAAATACTATATAATATAACCAAACTGTGCAGTATAGTTGTGAGTATCAATTAGTCTAGAAATTAATTAAAACATCATGTCAAAGCTACTGGTCAAAACTTTAGTCTAATGTGAGGCACAACTCAGAAACCTGCACAACATCAAAAAAGGTTTACCTTGATATGAGCATCTCATTGTTGACATCGCGGATGACTGTAGGTTCATAAAAAGTTAATCCAAGGCTATGTCTTTTACCCCCAAGAATTACTTTTGCCCCCTACAAATCAAAAGGAATTGAATTGTCAGAACTATCATCATATTAATTATTAGACATATTTATCCATCTTACTATATTTTTCAAGAGAAAATTAAAGGAAAAAGTATATTTGAAACAAAATGAAGAACCATTTCAAATAAAAGTCCAAGTATAGAACACAGATATGGAAAGAACAAAGAAAAGATTTAGAAGAAACCAATAAAAAAGACCCTGATATAAAGGGATTTTCTGAAAATTTGGTTTTTGTTAAAGCATAATGGCATTGTTCAATCAATGTAGCTAACCCCATCTAGACCCAATTTAGGTGAACTTCTATAAAAATACTTGTAGGAGAAGAAAAGAAGGAGATAAAATAAATAGAATATTTCTTATTAGTTAAAATCAATCAACTTATGAACCTCATTTTATAAATATTAATTGAAAAAGCTTCTAAAATGTTGAAGAGCATAAGTTGATTTTAACTTATGAGATAAATTTTATTTGTTTTATCTTCTTATTTTCTTCTCCTACAAGTACTTCTGCTAAGCTTACCCGAACTGGATCCTAGTGAAATAAGGCTCCATTTATGTTCAAGCATACAGCCCAGTAGCAAAAAGCATCAGAAAAATGCCAAACACCTCCACACTAAGCATAATCCCAAGAATAACTCCAAAGGAGGAAAATTATATGGACACAGAAATTGCATTATTAATAAACATCAGTAATCCCCAAAAGGGATCTTAACTCCATTATTTATAATTCAAAAAGGTCGTAGAAATGTATAGGGGGGAGGAGGGTGAGGTAGAGATGCACACGCAAGGAAAAGCTAAAAAAAAAAAAAAACCAACCTTTGAGGTGGCATCATGAATTAAGGACTCAACCTGTAAGGAAAACCACAAAGTAAACCAAGAAGTTGCTATGAGCTGGAAGAGACACCCTGCAACAACACAAATAGAAATTGAAATGCTAAGGAAAACACAAACCTTTTTGACAGCGGCTTCATTGATCAGAGGACCCTGTTCAGAGATGGATATGAAATTGAGTTACACCATAGTCCCAGACTATCACATTTTCTCTCAATTTAGGAGAGGATTCTGAAGAGTAGTGAACTCAACATATTGTAATGGGAATATTAAAAGGGAAGTATCATATTGAAAAGTACTCTGAAATCTAAATTACTGAGGAATAAGTGGGAAAAAAAAGAGAAGTAATTCAGGCAATTTTCGAAGACAGTTTGACTCAAAAAGGCAGATTCTAATATAAAAAATTAGAAAAAAAAATATATCAATAACTACCTGAACCACACCATCACCAAAACCATCCCCAACTTTCATATTCTGAACAGCATCAAGCAAAGCATTTGCAAATTTCTCATATATACCTTCACAAAGCAACTTGGTTAAATAAAGAAATCAATGTCTATCAGAGCCAGTTTTGATAAACTTTTCAATAAGTATTCATAGGAAAAGAAAATAGAACGAATTAAGGAAGTAAAATGATTAAATTTCTCTCATAAGTTAAAATCAACTTATGGAGAACTTAAACGAGGGAACTTTTAAAAAAGTTGAGGGGGCATAAGTTGATTTTTAACTAATAGAAGTTTGATCCATATTATCTTCTTGATTCATTTTATTTTCTTCTCCATTAAATGGTTGTTGAGAAGTTTATCCAAAATGGAATAATGTATCTAAATGCACATTTTCACATTGGCATAAACTTCAAACAGCCAATCAACCAATAGGAGTACACAAACACAACTCTCGTGAGCAAAATTGCAAAGAAATCAGACAAATGCATTATAATTGTAAAATCATTAGTTTTACCACCATTTTCATCTAACCTTCTTGCACAAGAATTCTATTTGCACAGACACATGTTTGTCCACTATTGCGGAACTTTGCTGCAAGCTGCAATCAAATTAATGAAATGTTATGATTATTTATATCACCATTACAAAATGGCAGGGGGAATCACAGCATGTTCCTCAACTGTCAATCTTAGCAATTGACCCAAAATTAAAAGCCTCTTCAATTTTAATCATTTTATTCAGCTTTGCTGGTCATTACTACCCTCCCCCCCCTGCTGGAATTGCCCGACCACAAATCTACCCATTGATTCAAATCAACAAAAGAATTCGAGCATAGAAACCATAATCTCCAAGAAGAAAGAACCAGAACCAGTTAGTTCACATTAACACAATCTCCAAAATTGCTGAAATTAAACTGGGGAAGTTATAAAAGCCCCAAGTTGATGGTGTTTTGTGCTTTTAGTGTGTGTGTGTGAGAGAGCGAGAGAGAGAGCACAACAACATAGAGCACACGTTAAAATCTCAAACATACAATTAGAAAATAATTAATCATCAATTGAAGATTATTTTTCAGGGAAAAAATCTACAAATTGGTCAAAAGTCAAAACCACAAAAGGCTACTGAAAGATAGTTCAATAAAATAGCATCACCAGTCCACCATAGCAAAATAGATAAGACTTGAAGCCAAAGAAATATTTTTATACCTAACCTTCAGCAGTTAAAAGTTGGACAAAGAAAAATCTAAGCGAAGGATATAACTAATGTCTAAAAAACTCAACACAAATTTGACAAGGTAAGGTGTGTATTTAAAAACTTGGGTTAATTTACCCACTGATTCTAAGGAATAGGAAGCAAGGATCACTTGTTCTAGCCTCATAAATAAAATCTAACAGAAGCATAAAAAATTATGCAGTGGAAGAAATAATGAATATTTTCATATAATCATTATAAGGAATGAGGATACAAGAATTATCCATTACAGTTAGAGCCATCATCAGAAGATATCAGGCGCAGCATCCATAAAAAATAATATTTTAAACAAAAGAACCATTACAACTACCATGCATTGTCATGCTTTCTAACTTACAGTTCCTTTTATTGCAACATCCAGGTCAGCATCATCAAAAACTATGCAAGGTGCATTGCCACCAAGTTCCAGAGATACCTAGAAATTTAAAATGTATATATATACATAAGGGTGAAAAATCCTTTAGAATATAATGAGTGATGTTTAGACCGTGTATGAAGAAATTCATGACAATATCTAAGCATACTTTTTTAACCGTCTCTGCAGAACCAGCCAACAATTTCTTTCCAACAGCTGTTGAGCCTGTGAACGTGATCTTCCTTACCTAAATAAGGTTGATAATTTCTTTCTCAGATGTTCAATAACATTCACAAGGTAATTGCATCATAAAATTACATTGTCACAGAACCTGTGGACTTGCAAGTATAGCGTCCCCAATATCAGGAGCATTTCCCATTACCACATTCACAACACCCTATGTCATTAAAATATCACAACCATTAGAATCATAAAAGATGGGCAGTAAGGATAAAAAAGAATAAAGGGAGCTTCATTTATGGGAAAAGTAGGAAAGAATAAAAGGCAGAGAAAAGATCTACAAAATTTAGCCACAAATGAGATCGATAAACTAAAGACTTGGGATCAAAATTGCTGTAAGATTTACACAATCCAGTGGAAAAACTAAAAATGATTAAGGACATCCAAAGGAGCTAACTTAGTATTTTCTTCACTGACCTACTTCACACGTACAATACTTATGCTCCATGGACATGAAATTTGTACAACAAAGATTAACATATTTGAAATGGGACCAAAATTACAGTAAAATAGTATAGTTAGTAAAAGACAAGAAAAGAAACTACAATAACAGCATGTTACATGCCAAAATATCAGAATGAACTTTCTATAAACATCACAAGGTCCCAATGTACAAATGTCATGCCTCTATGGAGATTTTCAATAAATTTAATTACTAAATTACCAAACATCACAACGAAAATTACAGATCCTGTAGGCCAAATATGCAATGAACTTTTACAACTCTCATAAAAGTAGGTTTAAGAAACTACCGCTGGTATTCCAGCTTGAATGGAAAGCTCTGCTGCAGCTAAAGCAGTGAGAGGCGTAAGTTCAGAGGGCTTTATGACCACCGTACAGCCACATGCAAGGGCTGGACCAACCTAATATAATAGAAAACACATAATTACCATATTCTTTGTTATTCACTAATTTCTAAAAGCACTTAAAAGTGAAAATGGGTAAAATCTGGACAGTAAAGATTCAAAACCAAACTACCTTCCGAGTTATCATAGCAAGGGGAAAGTTCCAAGGTGTAATTGCACCTACAACCCCTACAGGCTGCAAATCCCAGAAAAGAGGTAAGTATGAGCCATGTATCTAGATATTAAGATTCAGGATTATCAAACAGAAAGTGATATTAAAATCAGTAAAATCATATTCTAAAACTTTCAAAATAAAAGCAATTGAAACTAAATAGAAACTGGAACCAATTATTAGAAAAGTGAATCATTCTCGAGAAAAAACTTATTCCATCCCTACTCCCAATGTAGAAGCAGATTAAGAAATCAGGAAGATGGTACTGCAATAGGTCCCCTGATATTCAAGAGACTAGGAAACTCTCCCACAAATTATGATAATTTCCAAGCCTCTATTTCTCTCAATCTCTCCCCATTATTTATAGTGTCCCTTCTATTTATTACTCTCTAACTAACTAACAGAAGTCCTCACTAACAGTCCCATCCCAACAAACTAAGTACTAATGGATATCTATTATCTACCAGTACTTCCCCCTAAAGCCTCACCTTGTCCACATCATGAACAGCTTATGGCTGCTAAAATGGAGTGCCACTAATGTTCTAACCAATTGAAGCATGATGACCACATCAATCCCACCTTGCAGCCCAAAAATAGCTTCCATTCCTCCCTGGTCAAACATAAATATTATGTGCTATTTTTGGCCATGAAACAGAGTATCAGAGGCTCTATAATTATACTAATAGTGATATCCCATTCCCATGGCTCTCTTGCAAACTGCACTACTGCACATGGTTGCAACTGATGATTATCATGATCGTACACCTGATTATGCTTGTACTGCCCAAAACCTCCATTGGTTAGTGTAGTCCTTGGCTCCCCTTGCATCCTAAACATGGAGCTTCTCTCAATTTTTTTCCTCCCCTTTGTAACCCAAAAGAAGACTCGTCTCTATGCCATCTCTATCACTATGATTCTTGATCTCAAGAATTTCATTTTTGCTTATATTTTCTAATAATTCATCTAGAATGTTGTTTGGTTGCTTTTGTTAGACTTCTCCCAATTATTGTAAGTTATAACTTTCTTGCATTTGGTTCTTGCCCTTCAGTTGCTGGTTCTATTCTCTCTAAAACCTCATCTTCTGTTCCTTTTTCTAACTACAACTCTGATTCTCAATTTTCAACCATTTATTTTTTCCCTTCCATCTTCTTGCTCCTCACAAAGGTCCCACCATGATGCACTTGGATAGTCCACTTTCTAGTTTCTACACAAACCACCAAACGTAAGCACGTCCTTGCAAAGCCTTCTCTACCCTATGCATCTTTTCTTCATCTATTATTCCTATGGAAGCAAAGTGCTTCTCCATGTTTTCTAAAGTCAATAAAAAACATATGCAAATCTCTTTCTTTACTCTAGTACCTTTCTATCAACCTCTTTAGAGAATACTAATGTTTATTATAGACCTTTTTAACACAATTCAGAATATCTTCCTTGTTCGTAAATAAAGGAACCACAGTACTCTACTCATCTAACATTCTCTTAGATTTCATAATCTCATTAAATAGTTTAGTGACCCAAATGTTGTCTTATTTTCCTATGCACTTCTAAACTTCAAGGGTTCATTTAGTGAACAAGATAAATATCTTTTCCTATCATATTCTATCTGTGATGTTTGTTGAACCAATGGAATATATGTTTATCCAATAGCAATGTCGTATCCTTCAATCCAATATAAATTTTATCCTATGGAAGGCCTGAGTTAGAAATAAAGAAGATAAGACAACACAATGTATCTGCTTTGTTATTTTGGCTGCATCAAATTTAAAATAAGAGCATGTTTGGTAAAGCTTTTCAACAGCTTTTTGAGATAAAAAAGCTGTTGGTGCTGATTAAAATCACGTTTGGGTGAAAAAATTAAAAGCTGCAGATTGTTATTTTCTAAAGAGAAAAGTTGTTGGGTTAAAAGCTAAAAATTGGGCATTCTCTTTGTAAAGCTGTTGGGACAAAATAAAATTTTCCAATAATCATTTTTCAGCAAACATACCCAAACAAAAACAGATTCTACACATAATTGATTCTATACATAATTGATTCTACACACAATCGATTCTTCAAATAATCTAATTTTTACAACTATTCCAAACACGCTCTAAGATGAAAGTCTATCTTCCTCTTATCTTATCTTACTCTTATTCAACTCTCACATCCTATCATTTTCTATCCTAAATGAGTTTTAATAGGAATATTATCAAGGCCAATAGCTTAATCATTATTCATACTTTTAAGGGCTTTTTCTACTTCTCCAACTCAAATTCAGTGATAGCAAGTCAAATCTTGATCTTTCACTTAACTTTCTAAATCTTCTATATTATTGATTAATTTTTGTCCATCATTGAAAAGATTATAAAAATAGCTCTTTCATATCTCTTTGATAACCTTATATGTAACCAAAAATTTTTCTTCTTCATCTTTAAAGTGTTTTACTTCATCTAAATCTCTTAATTCTCTTTTCCTATTTTTGATGAACTTATATATCTTTTATACTCCACTCATTGTCCTATGATCTAATAAAACTCTTCAAAAATCTTAAATCGTGTTTCACTCGTAGCTTTCCTTGTCTCATTTCTAACATACTAATACCTAACCAATGTTCCACAATATTGTACCTCTCCAACTTCACCCAAGGAGATAAGGCTTGATTGTTGTTGTTGTATTGTACTCATGTCAAGTTATAAAACACTTTCTCCTATCTCTGACCTTTTCTTGCATACTTGCATCTTAGCACCAAAATTTATCTCTCAGATTAAAACTTCTTAAAAGTTTAAAACAAATGTTCACAACCTTCAAAGCATAAGCTATTAAGAAATCAAAAATAACTTGTCATTTCTCATTTATCTCTTCAAAACCAAAACTACCATAAGTTGTAGTAATTTACCTTGCCTCACAACTAACATATTTATTTAGACCCCCCTATGTTATAAATAGTTAGAATAGAAGTATTAGGATTAGGATTTATTTTAGTATTATAATAACGGGCATGGCCCAGTAGGGTTACATATGTATCCTTATAAATATAAGGGTCTCTACGCATTGTAGAGTATCTAATTACAGCACACTAATCTGTCTCTCTCTCTATGTTCTTTTTCTCTTAATCTCTACATGGTATCAAGAGCTTTCTAGGCTCTCTCCTTGGTCGCCACCACCACTGCTGCCACCACCACCCCCGCCGCCGCTGCCACCGCGACCGCGCCACCGGAAAAAACAAAAAAAACAGCAGTTTTAGAAAAGGCCAACCATGGCTGCTGTGGGAATGGAAAATTTTTCTGGTAACCAAAATATACAGTAATTCAACGTTTACAATTTGAACATGATAGCTAGGATGTGCAAGATGCACAGCACAAGAGAGCTGTTACAGAGATTATATCTCTATCCAAACTTACAGAATATGGTGTGGAAGTATTTATTTGAGATTAGCCTGGGTGGAATAGGAAAGAATAATCATTTGATTAAAATAGCACCTATCAATTCTAAGGATGTTGACACATGGAAGATACGCGTCAAAAAAATCCTTGCGTTACTAATAAACTCTGTTGATAGACGATTACAAGCAATTATTACTAGTGTTGTTAAATGGCAGCCATGGCGGCGCCATGGCGGAATTCGGTGGCAGTTTTTGACCCCGCCGTTACAACGTTACCCTTTTTTGGCGTTTTTCAATGACGGCCGTTACGCACATGGCGGTAACAGCGGCCATGGCGGAAAATGTAGAAAAATGGCATTTTTGCAGGAAAAATTGAGTTGGGCCATTGATTGAACCTGCTCCAAAAAGAAAATCTACGAGCCCAAACCCTAAATCACATATTTTCTTCCTTTCTTCATCGCTGTTGTGCCTCTGTGGAGCGGCAGTGGGCTACTGTGCCGCTGGGGAGCAGCGGTTCGCCATGTGATGCTTGTTGTGAAGTATTTCTTCGCAGAGGTTAAGCCCTAATTGTAGTGTCTTGGTGTGGGTGTGCACTTTTGAAGTGTAATGGAGAAAGAGAGCAAAATTCCAATCTTGCCCTTGCTTTATGTATTTTAGGGTTTTTGAAGGGCAAAATAGACTTTTTCCACTTAAAATATTTACCTTCTCTTATCAAGTGGTAAATTTTCTGAAGGATAAAATATTTAGGGTTCTCTCTGCAGCTAACTTCTCCTTGATCTCCTTCACCATTTTTGCCGGAGAAGACATCCTTTCCGGCTGTTTTCCGGCAACTGTGAGTGGAAGGCCCTGTTTTCCAACGTCCATTTTCTATTTTGTTTCTTTGGACTCTATCCCTCTTTCTTAATTTTTCCCTCTCCTATTTTTTTTTTTCAGTTCTGTTTTTCCCTTTCCCATTCTGTTTTACTCTCCCATTTTTTTCGTTTTTCCTTATTATTTTGTTTTCTTGATTCTATTTTTCTGTTTTCACTTCCAAGTTTCCTTCTCCATATTTATTTTAATTCTCTACTTTTCTGTTATAACTTCAGCTTTTTATTCCCTCTTTCTTAATTTTTCCCTCTCCTATTTTTTTTTTAAGTTCTGTTTTTCCCTTTCCCATTCTGTTTTACTCTCCCATTTTTTTCGTTTTTCCTTATTATTTTGTTTTCTTGATTCTATTTTTCTGTTTTCACTTCCAAGTTTCCTTCTCCATATTTATTTTAATTCTCTATTTTTCTGTTATAACTTCAGTTTTTTTTCAATGTTGTAGAACCATTTTATTATTTTTTTCTCAAAACCTTCCTTCTTTTATAAGCAGTTAGTTTTCTAGTTTTATATCACATTTTGCAATATATATATATGACCGTCATTATTCCGGCATGGCATCCGCCATAATTTTATGGCAGTTTTTTTGCTTTCCGCCATTCGCCATTGATAACATTGATTATTACCTATTGCAAAACTGTGAAAGAGTTGTGGGATTTTTAGCAATTTATTTTTGGGAAACCTGATAATTTGAATCGGTTATATGCTCTCTTGCAGGATAAACTATCAACCCAAACAAAATAAGCGGAAGCTAATGAATTATTTTTTGGAGTTTAAGAAGCATACTGAAGAGATACAATCT